ATGGTGAGAGGGAGGGGAAAAAAACTCACCATGAGGATCTCCACGGCGGCGCACAGAACTGTGGCCATAGTCTGTGCTTTTTAAAGCAGCGATCGCAGTAGGCATGCCTACTACGCAGCTCGTCTTCCCCGAACATTCCTCCCAGGAGGGAATCCTCTGCACCAGCATCCCTCTCCTCGGCCGCCTCACCATCAGCGTGGCGCCGGCGGCCTCCTGCGCCAGCCGCAGGGAGGTGAGCAGGGAGGCGGGGGCGATGGCGTCCACCTCCACGCTGCCGTCGACCTCGGTTTGACCCAGGTCGGCCATGGCCAGGATGTGTACCTCAGCATCGGGCCCGGGGGGTCCCAGGAAGGACGCCACCTCGCTCCAGGCGCCACCCTGTGCTTGCAGTGCGGCACTTGGCGGGCGCGTGAGTGCGGTGCCAGCCGGAAGCCATGCCCGCATCTTGCCGGCCCAAGACGCAGGTCTGCCTTTCTCATCATTCCAGGCCAGCTCGTTGTGCTCCAGGCCGTCCCTAACCCCCCCCCCCCCCCCCCCCACCCAACATGAAAAGCACGCACCCGGCTGCCCACGGTGTAGAAGTAGCGGCGGCCGGGGGCCAGGTCCCCAAGAACCACGCTGTGCAGTGCGCCGGGGTCTAGCCAGCCTGTGCTGTTGGCGGGCGCCCCGCACATGGCCTCCCTGGTGTAGGTGGTGGAGTCGGCGGGGGCCTCCCGGTCGAGATACTGGGGGTCGGCGCCCCAGCGAATGAGCGGCCGGTCCACCGGCCCGCTGACCCACAGGACCTTGACCTCCGATGGCCGCCCAGTCAGCGCGAGGTGGACCTGGGTGGGCTCCCCAGGGTCCAGGGGGGCTACGGCCCGCGAATGCGCCGCAAACACCGGGAGGGCTAGGCCGTCGCGCAGGAAGTAGAAGCGCTGCGGCTGGCGCAGATTCAGCAGGCGGAAGCTGCAGGGCCGTGGGGAGGGTCGGTGTGAGACGGCATCATACATTCAAGTGTCTGGTTGGCCGGAAACTGCCACTGAAGCCAGGCTGCAAGGACGCATTGCCAGGTGCTGGACCCCCAAGGAACCCTACCTGAGGGTGCCCTCCCCACGCTCAACGTAGCTGGGGACAGCGGCCAGGAATTTATACTTCAAAGGCGCCACAGTCCGTGGATCGACGTCCTCGGGAGCATATAGAGCGATCATGTCGTCGTAGCGAGGGTCTATCACACCCGAGATGCGGACCTCGACCCACTCCCCGGCTACGTGCGGGCCACTCGTGTTCAGGTCCAGCCTCACTGCCGTTTCCCAGACCAAACTCGCTGCAGCCACATTGACCGCAGATTTCGGATGTGGGGTCGTGGGAAGCCCATGGCCGTCAGTCAGGGGGGTGTGACCTCTGGCCAGACCTCCGGCCAGGGCACAGAGGAGATGGATCACTTTGAACAGGTGAAGGATCATGATCAGGTCCACCTCAAACAGACTGCAGTCATTCTTTCGACATTTCCATCAGTAGATGAAATGCAGCAACCAAAGTAAGAGAAGCACAGGTCCTTTTTCCTCGGGTCCCCCTTGTCGCGCTTGGAGTCCTTCATGTCGCCACGTCCCGCCACGGCGACCTCATCCGCTAGCACCATGAGCCAGTTGCGGGGCCTGGCACATGCCATGCGTCTGGACTCGACGCAATGCCAGCGTCCTTGTGAAATAGATACACACCACCGTCTTACTAGCTTTTGGAACCGCGAGCTCTGCCTGCACCCCTGGTTGGTCTGGCACTCTTGGGCCATGCAGTCTGCAGCGTTCAGGGGGACTCGGGTGCAGCCCTTCGTGGCATGCGCTCCTCTCACCCGCAGCCTGAATATCAGTCGTAGAGCTGCACCCACCCCGATCCGCGCGAGCTTGCTGGCGCCTGCAGCGCCTATCACTGTTCGCGGATGGGACGGGTCTGAGTCTGGCACGCAGAACCTCTCCCTCATTGTGGCGGATCCAGAGACCAGCAAGGGCTTGGTGCACCGATACCTCATCACTGTGCGACAGAACATGAGAGCGGTGCGTGTGGCTGGGGACTGTTGAACGCGTGGCTGGCTGGTCCTGTCGCTGGCCGTGACTGGGTTTTCTACCTCCCTGGGATCCATAATCATTGTGCAATGGGTCAGAGTCGCGCCCAACAATGCAATCGTACCCCTGCGCAGGGTACAGCCAGCACCCTGACGCGTGGGGAGGTGCGCGGAGGTGGCCGCAAGCCCTACAAGCAGAAGGGCACGGGCAATGCCCGCCGTGGGAGCACTCGCTCGCCCCTCATTGTGGGGGGCGGCGTGGCCTTTGGGCCCAAGGTAGGTGCTCTGTTTGAAGGGGAAGTATGATGGGAAGTTCCACCCGGCCAGGCCATACACACACATTGTACTAGCTAGGATTGAGGGCTCCAAGCTCTGTGGGGAGATGAACCCTGTGTGATAAGATGCCCTGGCGTGGACTCTGCGGACCACTTCACTCTACCCTCTCTCATCCTGCACACCCAGCCCCGCGACTGGACCATCGGCATGAACAAGAAGGAGAGGCGCCTGGCGCTGGCCACCGCCCTGCAGTCCGCCGCACCCGACATGGTCGTGGTGGGGAGCGTCGCCGAGGCGGTGCCCGAGGTGAAGACCAAGAACCTGGTCGCCAAGCTGGAAAGCATTGGCGTCTTCCCCATGGTGCGCAGAGTGGGGTGGGAGCCGGCCAGCGGGTGTGCGATTGCTCGTCTTTGTCGACGGGCCGGTAACTAGGCAGCCCTCTCGTGGATGGCGAGCGGCGACTGCGCTACTGCGCCAGAGCCTGCCTCAATCGTGAGTCATGCTTGTCTGACACCCAACGACTCCATGCGCCACTCATTCTTCGGCACTCTGCAGGAGGAGAAGGTGCTTCTTATTGTGGCGGAGCCCACCGAGGCTGTGGCCCTGAGCGCTCGCAATGTCGAGAACCTGTCTGTCAACAGAGGTGTGTTTGTTGGAGGACCATGGACTCTTGGCCCATTCACACCTGGACCCTGTCTTCCCCACTGTGCCGCTCGCCGCCTCGCCACCCGTTCACCCTCGCTGCCAACCCCACTTTCTCCCTGCCACTATTTGTTTATCTGCCACCTATTCCTTCCACCCCCCACTCCCTCCCCATCCGTACAGCCGAGGCCGTCCGGATATACGACCTCCTGAACGCGGACAGGATCGTGGTGGAGAGCAGGGCATTGGACTTTTTGAATGCGCAGTTTGGGCTGGATCTGGGCGAGGAGGAGCCGGAGGTGGAGGGCGAGCTGTCCCACACCGCTGCCTGATAGCATGGAGATGGGGCCTGTGTCTGCGCCTGGTGGGCTTCCTTGCTCCCGTGTGGGTACACATTCTGGCAGGACCTGGTGCGTGTGCGTGTACCCTGCTTGCCAGGAATCTCGAGCGCTATGGCATTGAGAGGTTTCGGGGGGGGGGGGGGGAGCACGGGCAGGAATGATGATGGTCGTGAGTCTGGGAATGTCAGTGGGGTCGAGGGTGTGCCAGTGCGCAGGCGGGCGACATCCTGCCGCAGGTCCGCCCGCGCCGCCCGGTCAGTCCTTGAGTCGCGTGGCGCGTGGCGTGCTGCGCACGCTCTGCATCAGCGGGTGAAAGGCGCGGATGAGACCCTCCGTCCCGGTCATGCTCCCCGCCCGCGACAGCGTGGGCGTCGCCTCGCCCCTCACCGCGGAAGTGGGGGTGCGCAGGCCACCTGGGGTCTGGCCGCCCACCTGAGGGCGCAGGTGGGGGGAAGGGATCGGCTGGGGTGACCACACATGCGGCGGCGGCGGTCCAGTGAGTCCCCGGCACCAGACCCCTGCCCAGCGCTGGCGGCCATCAGAGCACCCCTGTCTCTGCTTCCCGTCACACACAACCCCCCCCACCCCCCTCTCCTCAGCCAAGTCACAAGCGCCGCCGCACACGCCAGCCCACCTTTTGCGCGTATCGCGCCAGGCTCTTGAGGTCGCGGGCAGGCAGGAGGAAGGCGGCCACGATGCTCTCCACGCCCTCCTGCAGCACCGCCAGGTTCTCCCGAACCAGGGTCTGGCCGGAGAAGGCCAGGTCGGCGCGCCTCTTCCGCGCCAGCGCGTCCCGCTCCGCGGCCAGGCTGCCCAGCCGGCTGCGCGCGTCGGTCAGGGCCTGTCGCGGGCGGAAAGCGGGGCGCCGACGTCAGGAGGGGTGGGGCGGTCGTCCGCCCCGACCAGGGAGACCCCTGCACGCCGGGCCCCTCCCGACCCTCCACACGCAGGCACATCCGATGCACTCGCCGCGGCTGTTCGTCCCCTCATCGCCAACACACCCCTCCCACGCGGCCCCATGCGCACCCGCGACCCGGCGTGGGCCTGGTCCCGGATGATGCGCAGGCGGTACGCACGGTACGCGCGCTGCACTGTGCGCGCCGCGTCGGACACGCGCTTGTGCTCGCGCCAGCTGGCGGCCATGGTCTCGCGCGACCGCTCCCCCGCCGCCAGCCGGCGCTGCAGCGCGCGGCCCAGCTCCCGCTCGCGCGCCAGGGACTCGTTGGCGGCGCGCAGGGCCGCCGCGGCGTGCGCGCTGTGGTCCGCGGCCTGGAGGATCTCCGCTTCCAGCACGTCCACCCGCTGCTGCAGCTCCCTGCGAATGGATGTGGGAGGAGGGCGGGGGGGGGGGGGACCGATGGAGTGAGGGAGGCTGGTGCAAAGGTCGGGGCCCTGACGCTTCTCCAGGTGGGATCAAGGGAGTCAGTGATGGAAGTCGAGTGTCCTTTCCTGCCAAGTAGGCTGGGCTTCCTACTGATGACGCTGCGGCTCCTGGGATGGCCGTGGCAACCCGATGCCCAAGAGCAAACGCATGGAGACCCGGCAAGGTCCAGCAAGTCATACAACCCAACCAGCCACCACCATGTACATGCATCCCACCTGCCGTATGCCTGCGACCTCTCCAGCTCTCCCTCCAGCCTGCTGATGGTGTCCCTCGCCTCACATTCGGCCCGCGCCGCACCCTCCTGCGCAGCGAAAATCTCACCCCTCGCCGCCTCCTTCTGTGCACGCAGCTCGCCCTCGGCCTTGCTCTGCGGCACGAGGTGGGCCCTTGGGGCTGGGCCCTTGGGGCTGTGTCCATGTGCTTGCTGTTAACAGGCCGCGTCTACAACCCACCCGTAGGTCCGACATCAGCCCGCCCTCAACTAGCACCAACAGGCTCGACGCCCCTCCCCCTCCCATTTCACCGCCGACCTGGAGCTCCGCCAACTGCTGCTCGTGCTGCACCGTCAGCATATCCTGCAGCCGGCGGCTACCCGCCAGCTGCTGCTCGGCGGTGGCCAGGCGTGGGGCCAGGCCGGCCAGCTCGGCCTCCAAGGCCCGCTGTGCCTCGGCGGCTGCCGCCGCCGCCGCCGCCCGCTCCGCCTCCGCCCGACGCGCCGCGCCCACTGCGGCCACGGCGTGCTCTTCGGTAGCCCGCGCGAGCCGGTCTGTCGCCTGCTCGGCGGCCGCGGCGGCCGCGGCAGCAGCGCCGCGCAGCTCGGCGCACTCGCTGGCGTGCCGCGCTTCCTCCTCGCGTCGCAGCGCCTCCGCGGCCGCCGCTTCGCCCCTCGCCCGCTCCACCTCCGCCTGCAGGGCAGCCACCTCGGAGCGGAGCGCCTGCATCATCGTGTGTATTTTTTGGGGGGGGGAGGTTAAAAGGGGAGGCATGTCGCCAGGGGACTCGCACCGGAGAGGGTCAAGGATGATGACATTTCCAACCTGCAGCCTCACCTCCGCCTCCTGGGCCCGCACTCGGTCTAGCGCCTCCCTGTCATGAGCCGCGCCCGCGGCCGTCTGACGCACCCGCTCCCGCTCCGCCTGCGCATCGAGGTGGAAAGTGCAGCGCAGATGCTGGTGCGTGGATGGCGAGGGCCGGATCTTGGTCAGTTTTCTATCTCAAGCTATCGCTCACTCCATCACCCGATTGCGCAGCCGGAACCAGCCCCCCGCTCCCTCTTCCTGAAGTCCCCTCCCATCGCCAGCGCTCACCTGCAGGGCATGCTGCAGGTACTCCAGCTCGCTCTCCTGCGCCAGCAGCGAGCGCTCCAGGGCCAGGGCACGTGCATCGTGGGGTGCGGCGGCCGCTGAGGCCTGGCCGAGACCCTCCTTGAGGCCCATGGCCAGGGAGGCAAAGTCCAGTCGCTCGTTCACCTTGGGCTGCGGGTCATTCGGTGTAGGGAGCGGGCCGGTGAATCCAGGGTGAATCAGGTGGATGGGGATGCGTGTGGACGGCAATTCTAGATGTGGCGTTCTGCGTGCCAGGCTGGATCTAACCGGGGCGAGCTAGCGAGCCCCTCCTGCAGCAGACGCTTGCCGCCACCTTCCCAAGACGGGACCTCAATCCTCACCCAAGCCGCTTCACCTGGGTGGTCACGCGCATAGCCCGCATGCCAAACGCCAGGCTCTGCACGCTCTCCTCCACATGCTCGTAGGCGTCGCTGACGGCCACGATGAGCGAGGTCTTGGCATTGCCGCCCAGCGAATCCTTTTGAGGGTATGGAGGGGGGAGAACATCAAGGAATGCTATCAATGATGGGAGACAGGGTTTGGCAGGGAGACCGCCGCGACGGCTGCACTGCCACGGCACAGCTGCATCAGCATCATCAGTCGCCTCCCCCGCCCGCCCCACCTGCAGCAGCCGCGTGAGCTTGGAGTCGCGGAAGGGGACGTGGGTGGCGGCGGGATCGGCCCGAGCATTGATGCACATGCCCAGGGTGGTCAGGGACAGGTTGATGCTCTTGGCCTCGCTGGCACGCAGCCCTGCACAGGTTGAAGGGAGGCTCTTCATCGGGCTGGCGAGTCTGCGTGGGTCGTCCCCACTGAGCATGGCCCGCTCCACAACTCGCCCGACCGACGGGTCTTGGGAGGTGCCAAAGCCATGGGCAAACCTGTGCCAGTCAGTAGGTGCCAGAGCCTGCTCCAGCAGGCCCCAACTTCCCTGGACCCACAATCACCCAGCAGCAGTTTCCTCGCACACACCAAGATCCACCTGTGCTGCCGCTCTTCTTCAGCCGCTCGCTGCCCGCCAGGTCCACCATGAAGAGCTTGCCAATGCGGACGCGGTGCAGGTCGGAGCCGTCCCCCACCGGCTTGCGCTTGACCACCGTCAGCATGAAGACCGCGTGGCTGCGGCTGGACACCGCGTTCATGGCCGTGAAGGCTGTGGTCCTGGGTGTGATGCAGCGGGGGGGGGGGGGGCTGGAGGTCGGAGATTTATGTTGTATTATTCTCGAAAAGGTGGTGAATGCGGTGACGCTGTACTCCCACTGTGGCAAAAGCAAATCCCTCAGTCCCAAACAATATTACGCCGTGCAGCTCAAGATTCGCTCATCACTCCCAGACCTTGGGACCTACCTGGGAGCATGAGGTTCCCCAACCCTTGACCCAGCATGGATACTCGACCCTCAAGCAAATGTACATCGCCGTCTCACCCCCATAAACCCACGCCCTCCCCACCCAAACAAATAAAATCCTCAGCACCTGTTCCTGTCCCCTGCCTGCAGCAGCTCCAGGCAGTCCTCCAGCCTCCTGACCTCCACCTGCCTGACCCCCGCGATAAACACCCCCGCCTCCCCCTCCCGGATCTGCAGGTTCTCGCTCTCCGGCGCCAACAGGTCCTGGATCAACTCCATGTAGATCTGGACGTAGGACATGTAGACGGCGTGCACGTCCTCCCCGCCCCGCTGGACCCCGGCGAAGACCTCCGCCGCCGCGCGGGGCACGGCGCCAATCGTCTCCGGTGCCACGCTGGACAGCGTGTGCGTCTTGCCGGCCCCCGTCTGGCCGTAGGCCATGACGGTGCCGTTGTAGCCGGCCAGCACGTCCTCCACGATGGGCCGCACCGCGGCCGCATACACGTCCGCTTGGCTGGCGCTGGGGGGCAGCACCTGGGCATTGGAGCGGTGAGGAAGGTCATGGGTGTGTTGTGTGGAGTGGGAGCGCCCCCCGGCTGGGTGGCGCTGTGTCCAGCGGCCATGAAGGGCGAGCGATGATGCTCCTGAGCACTGACGGGGAGGAAGCCCAGACGCATCTTCGAACCCTGTCAGGGGTTCCTCCACCTGCTGCCCTGAGCCTGCACCCCTCACCTCGTCAAACTCATAGTCGCCAACAGAGATATTGGACTGCCTGTCGCGGCGAGGTGGTCACAGCAGGTCAGAGTGCCAGAGCAGTCCAGCAAGTCTAGGCTATCTCGCTCAGCAGGGTCCACCCTGCAGCGAACAATAACACACATGATTCCCTCGCCCCACTGAAGCACTGCAGCATCCGATATTCAGCAAGAAATTTACGACCCCGCCCACGTACGGCTTGAAGACGTTGATGCCCTGTCCGCCAGGCTTGGGACGCAGCGAGCCGGGTGTCTCACCCTCTGGCTTGGGAGGCCGGACTCGGACGAAGACACGGACCCTCTCTGCGATGGGATAATTATGATTCGGGTGCAAGGCTTTTCAGGTCGGTTTCTGCTCTCCACGGCATGGACACCACACGCATATTATGCATCCTGTCGAAGAGCCCTCCTTCCGTCCCGCACCTCCCGACTGCTCAGCGATTCGACGAGGCGTGGCGGATCCATCCCTTCTGGAACTAGAAGGGATCTTGGAAGGGCGCACGGGCGTCCGACTCCCCGCGCTGGCATCCCGGTCTGCCATTCCGACCCCCACAACAGCCTTCCTATGTTCCAATTTAGCTAGTGACGCCACGAGGCTGGGATCACTTTGAGTGGTCCCAGATATATTAATAAGGCATCGAGGTTACCCATGTGCAATCATCTCACATTGTGTCGCAGTTGGAGTTGGGGGGTCTTTTGTATGTCGAGCTGCGAAATTGAGATTTGCGCGTTCGTATGCATTTTCCCGCCAAGTGCCGCTTCCTTCCGCAATGTATATTACACGTTGCACAGCCAGCACTTCGGAGATCGCCGCATCTCAACTCCATACTCAATACGCGTCCATGCATGATTCATTTTGTTCCTGATCCGGACATCTTGAGTGGGGCCCAGCGCCATCGGTCCCACCACCACCATGTCACCCCGGAGCCAGGGCCCCAAGTCTGCATGGAACCTGCTGCAGGCCTCCCGGCGATGCTACTCTCTGGGTGGAGTGTCCGCACCTTCCAGTCGGAATCTGTGGGACATTGTTAAACGGGCAGAGTTTGAGAACCACGATGCCAAGCACGTTCACGACATCTGGATGGAGGTGGGTAGGAGGTGCATTGCCAATACTGGGGTCTGGCTGGTGGAACGCCGGTATCCTGAGCCCAGCCTGCCAACCGATCACATTTCGTACCACAGTTCCACGCCGACCCACTCAAGCACCGGGTGGCAGACGTGATGACGGCGGCGCAGTATGCTGTGTTCAGCGAGAATGCCGCACGGAGGTGGGTCGGTGGGGTACTTGGGGACCTGCACACCGGAGGGAAGGTGCCATTTCCGGCCCGCATACGCTGTCAGCAGTCTCCCAGCCCCTGCCACGCTGCACCCTGACTTGCCCTTTCTTTCTCTCATCCACCTCTCCCCTCACACTGCCCCTCACGTGTACGACAGCCCCTGCCCCTCCCAACGCCTCCCTGCACACACAGTCCCATGTTTGTGCTGCCCATCTTCAAGGGCCCCAATGCATTCGAGACCATCATGGTCCAGTGCCAGCTGCCGTGCGTCCTCCTGACGTCGCTGGAGGAGTACAAGCGGCAGGGTCCCGTGGCTGTACCATTCATGACCATGACCCACTACACGGAGCTGCAGTCTACCAAGTCGGTGGTGCTGGTGCGAGGGGACATCGTGGACCCCAACGCCCTCACCCGCTTCGAGGTAAGGTGTGGTATGTGGAGTGTGCAGGGCGTACGGGCGGGAGCCATGGCCAGGCAGGATCCAGCTGGCCCTTGCCCTGCGTTGTGGGCATGGCTCCAGCACCATTCGCTGGGGCCCATGTCTGATGCTGGCAGGCTGGCGGCGGGGCTCACTGTCCCAGCCTGCAGGCACCTGAGCATGGAGGTGGACCCCTCCCTCGACGATCCTGTGTTCTCCAGCCAGCCAGCCTTGATCCCCGCCACCCCCAACCCCCTGAGCCACGCAGGCCACCAGCCTCATGAGGATGGTGCACGAATTTTACACGGAGAGAGCCAAGCACGTCTTTGTGCACGCCTTCAACCACAACCCGCCCTCCTTTGACTTCAAGCGCATGCTCGACTCGATGGGCCACGACACCTCCAACCTGCCGCGATGATGCAGAGGCCAAGCGGCCAGCAGGCGAGAGCCCCTCATGACCCTTGGGGTTCGGACTTCATGGGTGGAGCCTCCGCTTGGAACCTTGATCCCCTTGGGGTGTATGGCCGCCCCTGTCTGCGCGCTTTGTTACCTCAGCCATCACGTCCACTTATTGGACATATGGGAGGGCCAGAGCTTGAATATGGTGCTGCTGATGCTCCCTGCCGAGCTTGACGCCCCAGTGCGCGAGGAGGCAAGCCCTGGAGGCCTTCCGGCAATGCTTCCCATTGCGTCGTGCATCACCGCGCCCATGATGTTCATGCTAACGTGAGGTGTGCAGTTATTGAATGCGTAGTGTTATGGTGGCACCCTCTCCGGAGCTTTTCCACCTTTCCACCTGCACCCGCGCCCCTCGATGTGTCCACGCCGCCTGGCACCGGGCTTGAAACCCAAGCCCCTCACCGTACTCGGGGTCTTGTTCTGTAACATTCCTACTTTAGGTCATATACAGCGGTCCACGGTGTGGGGTCTAGCCCGGTGCCAGGCGGCGTAGAGGGATGCAGGTGGAATGGGTGGAAGGCTCCGGAGAGGGTCCCCCTACCACACGTAGACACATTCAAGTTTGATCAGATGGTGCTGATACCCTCACTCTGAATCATAGTCTGTGCGGCGATCACTTGATCATATGGCTGCACGGCTGAAGCCCCATCGTCTAGTTACAGGGGCACCTTGCGTTCACACAGCATGCCTGCACGGAACTGAGCGAGTATCATTCCCTGCAGAGATCTCCGGCATGGGCAGAGTGTTCTGAGTAGGGTGACGAATCTTTAAGAATCTCCCAATTGTTCGACAAAGATGGGAATCACCAGGGGGTCGTAGAGGAAATCAAGAATACCCAGTTAGAGGACCTTGGAGGAGCCTGAGAGGGGGAGGAAGTGGCACCCAGCAAAGGCAGCGTTGGTGAGGGAAGGGAGGGGAAGGGAAGGGAGAGGAAGGAAGGGGGGTCGCTGATGCACCTCGACCGAAGCCAGGTGCGGGTCAAATGCAGGCATAACATGCCCATCTCGCTCTTTCCATCTCTCCCCTTGGCGCCGGCGCCTTCACGACTGGCTGAGCGGAGCGGCCTCTGCCGGGCGGAGCGGCATCACGCGCTCGGGGGCACGGTTTCTTTGTTTATGTCTCATAGGCCATGGCCCAGAAGTCGCGCTCCAGGCGGCACACGTTGATGAAGGCCGCCCGCGCCGCCGTCCTGCAGTGTGGTGAGTGGGAAAGGGTATTGGTTGGCGGGGGGAGAGGGATGGTGTGGACATTAGTCATTAATGCTTCCAAAAGCAACCCTTGACCTCCACCATCCTTCCCCCACCTCTGAAACCTCCTGGTAACTTCACATCCCGCCCCCTCCCCCCCCTTTCCAAACCCCACCTCTCGTCACGGGTGGCGCTGGCGAGGGCGTCGTCCGCCACGGCCTGCAGCTCCTTGACGTACTTGCTGAAGGGCTCGCTGGCCCAGCGCTCGGTGGCGTAGTCGTAGGGCGCCTGATTGGGCTGGGGGGGCTGGTGCGCGTGCCAGGCCTCGTGGTAGGCCTTCTCGATGGCCCACAGCACGGTGACGTGGATGGGGTAGGGCTGGTCGTTGCAGGAGTGCATGTAGTCGATGTACTCCTGGCAGGGCGCCTTGGCCGCCTCCTCCTCCAGGTTGATGCCCCGCGTGCCCAGGCAGCCCTGGAGGTGGGAAGGATGGGGGACTGAGAGTGAGAGGTTTGGGGGGGGGGGTGGTCCGAGGCGAGGGCGCATGGCCCTGCCCCACCCAGGTCAAGCAAGGTGGCGATGCTTAGATGAAGCCGCATGTGGGATCCAACCAGGTCCCAGGGGAACCAGGGGTGGGGTGAGGACAGGGATAGTCGCACACCTGCAGGCCGATGGAGCTGCCCACGCCGCTATGTAATCCAGTGGGATTCATCTTTCCTGCCCCCTCCTATCCAACTCGCCCAGCAGACAATGCCCCACCAAATCACCTGGAACCAGGACAGCTCGTCCTCGAGGGCGATGATCCCTCCCAGCAGGGTGTGGAAGTGGCGGTAGGGGGCCTTGGTTATGGCAAGGGCCATGAAGCGGGCAAACTCCAGGACGAAGAGGTAATCCTGTGCAAGGTGCGCCAGTTGGGTACGGCGAGAGTCTCAAGATGTGATGTACGGATATCCCGTAACATGGCGCTCGAGAGGTCCACAAGTTCATCGATATGCCTTATAATGGAATTCTAGCATGTGAAACGGAGGCGATCGAGCACCTCGGGTCTGCACGGGGTCAGGGCGGACCTGTGCCACAGGCTTGCCTCACCTGCACCAGCCAGGTGTCAAAGGCCTTCAGGTCCAGCGTCCCATCACGACATGCCTCGAGGAAGGGATGACTCACAGCCTGGGACCATGCCGTCGAGTGCTCGGCGTGCAAATCGTTACACACCGACATCCCTTGGTCCGGCGGGATTTGGACCGCGCGGTGAACTCGCGTCCGAGGTCGCTGGGTCCCCGACGAGTCGAGCCTCGGTGGCCCACGAGAACGCTAAGAAGAGTCTCAAAACATACTCCTAGGTCATCTAGAGGTGCGCGCCGTCGATACAACAACAGATTCCGCGAAGGTGAAGTTTCCCTCGGCACATGGTCATGGACAGGAAAGAGGGGATGGTGTACGAAGGGGATGAAGTACCTCAAGCAGGGCAGACCATGCCCCAGAACTCCTTTTCCAGCTTGCAGACCTCCAAGAAAGCTTCTGACGCTGCCTCTCTGCGAGGATCAAAAGGAGGTCTGGGCTACGGCCTGGTGGTATGATTACAAGGCATGATCCCGACCCAGGACAAGATGCATCGACTCGCAGTGTCCTCGACCTCAAGCACGCCAGCCCAGCATCGACAGGAATTACAAGCCTTTGGGGCTATCAAAGAACAGAACAGCATCCAGAAGCCCAGGAATCCCTCACCTGACTGCGCTGCCCTCCGTCTCCATGAGGGTGTCCAGATGGCCCTCCAGGGCTAGGATGTACTCTGCAAATGCGTCGCTGGCCCAGCGCTGAGCATACGTGCCGTACGGCTCCTCCATGGGACTGTTTAGTCGCCATGAGTCATGGTAGGCCTTCTCCACCACCCACAGGATTGTGAGCTGAACGGCATAGGGTATACCCGTGCTCTTGTTGAGGTACTCAATGTACTGTGCACAGGTGGGAAGGGGGTTGTGCTCCTCGACGATGACATTCCGCTTTTCAAGCTCCCCCTGTGGGCAGTATGAGGAAGCCGGCAGTAAGGGCAGCAGAATTTTCATCAGCTGGGAGAGGATGTGGGCTGGGGGTTGGGTGCATGTCCAGGATCTGCAGCAGGTGGTGTCTACTTCCTTGGATGACTACATGCATGGGTCGCATGATGAAACCCAAGAGGTTGTGCCACATCAAGCAAGATAAAGGCTACTGCATTGGAGCGGAAGTTCCTGACCAATGCATGCAAGCTGGGGCTCTGGCCTTCACCAAGCGACCCACAGAACAAAATAAGGGACCCACAGAACAAAACAAGGGAAGGAGATAAATTGCATCACGCCAGACAGCTCTTGTGAAGTTGGTTGTCACCGTTGCCCTTCCCATCAATCGTCACCTGGAACCACTGGAGCTCGTCGTCAATGGCGGTGAGGCCTCCGAGTAGGGTGGGGAAGAGCTTGAACGGGGCGTTGGCGACGTTAAGTGCGATGAATCGGGTGCATTCCCTCGCGAAAAAGAAATCCTGGCGAACATGGAGGGCGGCATGCTGGGGTACATGCCCTCTGTCAAGTAAGGGCTATTCGTGTGCGTGTCCCCTCCGCCCGTCACACTGGCTCATGATCGAATCTCGGTTCCAAGCTGCGCGCATGCCTTTTCGCAGCCCATTCATCCGCATTGAACACGCACCTGAATGAGCCAGGTCTCAAAATCCCTGGGATCCACGCTCCCATCCTTGCACCGGTCCAGGAATGGGGCGCGAACGCTGTCTCGCCATGCCTCGGCGTGCTGAGCAATGAGGTCACCGGCAAAACCCATGACGGAAGGTGTTGTATGTAATATGGACTGCGCTCCTGCGTCGCACTATATAGCGAGTGCTTGCTGCGTCTGCGTTGTGTGCTGTCAATTTACACATCTGACAAGTGGCAAGCCTGCCCATGCGCGCCGTGCTTTCCCATGCTGTTGAAATACGTTCAACACCCTTTCCCCCCCCCCCCCCACCACCCTCACTCTGACTCATGAGCTTGCCAGGAGTGCTACTGTACATTGTTCTCGGTACATGCCAGCCTGCAGGAGGAGAAGGCCCAGAGGGCCTTGGCCCCAGGTACCTGCCAGCATCACGGCAACGGCTCCTGCACATTGCCAAGGCGATTCAAGTGCAGATACGCGTCCGTGCCGTAGTTTTCCATGGAGATCATCTGCAGGTCCCCGCCAAAGTACCGCGCATACAGGCGGCTGATGGGCAGGCCGTAGCCGTACCTGCGCGGGGGGGGTTGGCAAGGGGGGTGAGTGGGAGTGACAGGGTGTTGCAGAGGCATCTTCCAGGAGAGCGTGCGGTCATGCGACTGGGAGCGCCGCTGCCAGGTGCCGCGCGAGGAGCGGGGGCAGGCTTGCACCCTGCAGGCCCTCCCCAGCAGACAAAGGACCCCCTTGGCCATCCAGTTGGTCACAGGGACTCGCCCATACTCCATCGCACAGACCACGCTGGCGCGGCCCCCTGCAAACCGCCTCACCCCGCCAGGACGGAGGGCCCCTCCGCGCTTTCCGTGCTGCCCGCGCTCCTGTCCCGGATGTCCTCCAGGGGCGAGCGCGCGGTGGTGTAAAGGTAGGTCCAGATCTTGGGCTGGCCGGAGCGCGCGATACCTCCACCCTCGTCTGACACCTTGATGCAGATGTCCTCCTCGCCCTCGGCCACTACGACCCGGATGGGCGGCGGCTCCTGCGCCGCGTCCTCCCAGCGGTCGTACACTGCGCGCAGCGAGTTCTTCACCAGCTCGAACACCATGTGGTGGAGGTGGGAGGGGACGTAGGGAAAGGCAAACCCCGGGTCGCCGTAGATGGAGACCTCGGGCGCAGACCCCTTCTCGCGCATGCAGATCATGCGCGCGTCGGCGATCGCGTCGGCACAGACCACGCCAGGGGAGCACCGTGTGTCGATCAGCCCGATGTGGTTCTCCTTCTGCGGCTCATGCAGCGCCACGTGCTGCCCGATCAGCATGCGGATGCCGATGCGGGAGAGGTAGAAGCTGTCCAGCATCTGGTGGATGTCGGGGAGGTCGTTCAGGCCCACCTCGTGCTGCAGCTCGCGCTTCAGCTCCGCCACGCCCATGGCCAGCACGGGGACCACATTGCGGTGGCGGAAGTAGATGTGGCGCAGCAGGTTGGTGAACTCCTCCTCGTCCGACGCGTTGCGGATGCGGGAAAAGGCGCGCAGCTCCTTGAACGACTCCACATACCAGTCGCGGACCTTGAGCACGTGGGGCTTGGCGGACAGGCCGTAGGGCGAGTTCTCCAGCTCCGCCACGCGGTGCGCCAAGCGGACGGGGAGCTCGTTGTGCAGGAACTGGGCGGACAGGATGAGCTGGCGCTCGATGGGCCGAGAGCCAAAGTCAAGCCTGTTGGAGTTGTTTTTTTTGTTTGGGGGGGCTTGGGTCAGAGGCTCAGAGGTTATGGTAAGTATCCCGCTCAACCACATACAACTTGTAACCCATGCATGACTTCACGGCCCTCTGATCCGGTCCACAACCCCCCCTCCGCGCTCACATGTACTTCAGGCTCACGCCCGTCTGTTTCCTGAGGGCGGAGGAGAAGACATCGTCCACCACGCTCTTCTCCCAGTGATCCGCCAGGCGGGGCCCAGTCTGTGGGTTGGAGGCGAGCCAGACTAAATGACCCATCCCGACAATGCCATGCGCCCGCCCGCACGTGGGGCCCCGATAAAACTGTCGGATTGCTGTGTCGTGCCCCAGGTCACGGAGTGGTAACACGTGACCTACACCCCACACCAACGCCCCGTCCTGCCCGAGGCTGCACCTGTTTGGCTGCTGTTGCTGCTCTGAGGGCGGAGCTCGCCGCCAGGCGGGCGACCGAGGCCAGGGCGGGAGCAGCGGTGGTCATGCCGAGTCAGATGAGCCACAGCCTTCCAACCCCGGAGCCAGGAGCGCGCGGCGGATCAGCCTGTCGGGAGCGAGGGCACTCGCATAGCCCGCAGGGTTTGAAGTGGCGGGGCCAGGGATCGGGGACGACCCATATCCCGACGGGGGAGCATGTGCCTCGTGCTGCTGCCAATCTTCCTGACCAGGCCACATCAGCAAATCAGGCGGATCGCTAGATACAGGAGCTCTGTGACAGATCGCACCGTCTCAGGCCGGCACACCATCGACCTGCACTTCCATGCAGGCCTGAGACGTCTGGACAGTGATCTGACAGGGCCAGGCCACGGCGCAGGGCGGTGCGCCCATGCCTGAGGTTTTCGGGTGTTACCTCCTGAGGTCCTGCCACGCCAAGGGGAAGGGCAGAACGTACATCGGGTGCGCCGAGCTTGCTGGGTTTGTAACATAATGTCATCTGTGGATTTTCAATTTCTGGGTGACGCACAATTCCAAGTAGCCCCACTGCGTTCCGTTTCCATGTTCTCAGGTTCACCGTCAACCCCTCCCGCCGCTTACGCCAGCACAATGGCGACATCGTCAGCGGGGCGGCCAAGACGAAGAGGTATGCATCTGTTGACTGCGTGCGTACCTTCGGTTCGTAGCGACAGGACTCCGTCATATGCCTACGGCCCCACATCGAGGCATGAAAGCCTGTGCCCTCAGCTGGATCCCACTCCTTGCAAAGCCCAGCACCTGTGCGACGTCCCCCAATGCGCCCACCCTTCATTCACCCAGGCTCCGGCCCTGGGAGATGGTGCTCTTCGTGCACGGCTTCCCCACCGCGGTCACAGCGCTGCAGTTCGAGTGGGCCTGGCAGCATCCGGAGGTGTCGCTGGACGTCCGCGCGGCGGCGCAGCGCCTGGGTAAAAAGCGGCTGCAGGGCGTGCAGGGCAAGGTGCGCCTGCTGCACGAGATGTTGAACCTGGAGCCCTGGCGCTACTTCCCCCTCAGCCTCCACATCCTGAGCTCGGCGCATGCCCCCCTGCGGGCCCAGTGCCCGCCCCTGCCCGCCCACATCGCCGTGACCTTCGCACCCCTGGAGGTGGGGAGTGGGAGCTTGGTGGGGGAGGCAGTGCTCGGGGACATTCAGGGTGAGGTCGTGCCAGAGAGTGGGGCTGGGAACGCGTCCACCCCTGCTGCGGAGCTGGCGGATCCCAGTGAGTCGACCAACCTCCATGTGCTACCCTTCACGCACAGGACCTCGACCCAGGGTATGACATCGCAGACGAATCCACCTCCCAGGCAGAGGAAGAGGCGGCGCAGACGGCCCTAGGGTCCACGAACTCTATGGCGCCGGGGTCCAAAGCGTCCAGCCCGGCGCCCAGCCCGGCGCCCAGCCCCCACGCCTCACCCAGCAAGGCTGGGGGGAAGGGGGCGTGCAGGCTCTGCGCCGGCGATGCCAGTCGCACTTGGTGGGCGTGCAGCTCGTGCGACTCCCGATTCCACCTGGGCTGCCTGGCCCGGCACCTCCTAGAGAAGGTGAGAGTGTGAGTTGGGGTGACTGTCTGGGAGCGCTACTGACGGGAGTGCGGGCAGCGGGCGATGGGGGGGGGGGGGGGGGGGAGGCTAGGGGGGGGGGGGAGGGGCGGCCCCCCCTG